TTTTTTTTTTTTTGGGTACTGGGGATTGAACCCAGAGACACTTTACTATTGAGCCACCATATCCCCAGCTCATTTTATTTTACGTTTTGAGACACCGTTGTGCTAAGTTGCCTAGGGCCTCGCCAAGTTCCTGAGGCTGGACAACTCTACACACTTAGGACTGAGAGTGTCTCTTAGTCTAGGGATACCATATTTCAGAATGTCAGGATACAATACGATGCTTCATTTACAGATGCCATTTATTCATTCACTCAACAAGCAGTTGTGTAGTACTTTGTCTGTTATAATCTCTAGTCCAATATGTAGTTTACTCCTAGCATATGGCTTACAAAATAAAAATACTTCTTATAAATAGAAATACTGAAAGGGAAAAAAAAAAACTTATTTGGATGAGAGCTACCTGAATCATTTTAAGAAAACAAAAGACAGAACAATGTTGTGCAGTGAGAAACATACCTGTTTCTTGAAGTATCCGATTGCATATTCATCTGCATATGTGAGGAAGTTCAGGATGTCATGTTTTATATGATATTCTTTCAAATGATTCATCAGATGTGTTCCATAGCCCTGTGTGGAAGTTAGTATACAGACAAATATGTTAGGTTCTGGAGAAAAGAAATTCCTACAAGGTTATCAGGAAATGTTGCAAATTTTGGAGTTTGAGTTTTGATATATTTTACCAAATAGGGCCTTTCCTTAAAGAAATATAACATTGACCCTTTCTTGCATTCCTGAACTTGGAGCTATAAAACTTAATTCAAAACTCTTATTTGAGATAAATATCAGCATTTGAAAATACAACTTTTTGCTTCTTTGAAATTAACAACCAAAGGCTGTGGGTATAGCTCAGTGGCGGAACATGTGCCTAGCATAATGTGTGAGGCCCTGGGTTCAATCCCCAGTGTGAATGGAGAAGGAAAGGTGAAAGAAGGGAGGGAGGGAGGGAGGAGAAAATAACATAGGCTGCAAGTGGCTAGTTTATTTCTAAAACTTACTTGAATATTAATATCAAAGTTTTTGGAGTAAATGTTATGAATTTCTGCCTACTCTCTAAAGTACCTGAGAACCTGGGATGAAAAGAGGTTTGTAAGTGAAATGTGCTGATCTTCACCAGAATATTTATTAATCCAAGTGTCTGTGGTATACCATACATCAGCAACTCATCTAAAAACACTGTATCATCAAATGCACAGGATTTTCAACTTGATCTTATCAGACCTTTCCAAACAAGTTCTAAGAAGCCCAGAATCTCTAAGACGGCCAAAGTTCATTAGGAAGTAACTAAAAACAGTGAACAACGTTGAATAAATAAGTGGTTTAAATATGAAAAATGTAAGCAAGTACTAGTTAAATTTATTGGGAAAACCTCCTTAAAAAAAAGAAAAGATGAATGTAAATCCAAGCATCCACAGACAAATACCTTCACATAAAAAGACCCAAATATGCTCACAGGTATGATCTCACAGAACCATAGCACTGCAAGGACAGAAGGGTCTTTGGAAATCATGGAGTCTAATTCCTCTTTCCATGTGAAACTAGAAGTCTTTTGTCATTTATCATAAGAAGGTAGGTAATCTGCTGCAATACCTTTAATGCAGGATACACTTTGGTTCTGAGATGGACCAACTTACTTTTAGGCATGAAGACCTTCCTACTGTTCACCAGAGATCTGTCTGGCCCCTTGTTTTTTTCTTATTTTTTTAATATTTTTTTGTAGTTGTAGATGGACACAATACATTTATTTGTTTTTATGTCATGCTCAGGATTGAACCCAGTGCCTCATCTGTGTAGGGCAAGTGCTCTGCCTCTGAGCCACAATCCCAGCCCCTGGCCCCTTGTTATTTCTCATGGACCTTAGATCTACTCTTTGAGTTACAGACTCATTTCTGCTTTTAACAGCTAGCTCTTCAAGCCCTTGAAGTGTATACTGTCCTATTCATGCCCATCTCCATCTCCCGAGTCCCAAGCAAAGCATCATCAAAGCTACAGTCATCATTCTTTCTATGGGATGACTCGAAGACCCCTCATCAACCTAATCACTTTTTCCAGGACTTTCTCCAATATAGCAATGCCTTCCCTAAAGCATGGATTCTTGGACATAATGATGATCAGGTAATTCTCTGTCCTACAAACAGGAGAACAGTATCATATCTCTTCTGGAAATTTTTCTGTCACTGATGTGATTCAAATACATTTTAGCTTTTCACGAACATATCACAGTACTGAAACACTGTAAGTTTTGAATAAAAACATGAATACAATATTCCTCTGTTTAAGGAGAAGATAGTAAAATGGGAAAGATAAATATATAAATACACGATTAAAATAGACAGTTGCAGTGTTCAATGTGGGAGCAACTAGCCCCATGGAGTGATTTAAATGTGACTAATCCAAATTGAGATGTGCTAGAAGTATAAACTATACAGAAAGAAAATTGTCATTATTAAACTTTTTACTTGTTACATGCTGACATGGCAATATTTTGGACAAGTGGGTTAAATAAGTAGTACAGCTGGGCATGGTGGTACACGCCTGTAATCCCAACAGCTCAGGAGGCTGAGACAGGAGGATCACAAATCAAAGCCAGGCTCAGCAACTTAGCGAGGTGCTAAGCAACTGAGTGAAACCCTATCTCTAAATAAAATACAAAATAGGGTTGGGAACTGGCTCAGTGGTTGAGTGCCCCTGAGTTCAATCCCTGGAACCCACATCCCCCACACCCCATAAAATAGTACAAAAATAATTTCATCTATTTATTTTTACTCTTTGTAATATGTATGTGACTGGTTTGAGTCTCACGTTATATAACTATTGTGCAGCTCTGAAAAAGTGATGTATTTGTACCTATAACAATTAAAAAAAAAAAACATAATAATTAAGGGGGTGAAAAGGGATGGAAGGAAATAAGAAGTTTAAGCTAGGCCTTAAAAGTGGTTGTCAAATGAAAGACATGGGAAGGAGATGGATTTGAAATCTAAATGTAAGGTAAAAAAGACCTTTACAAAAGTATTACAAAAGGACATAAGGTGGGGCATTGTGGCACATGATTTATAATCCTAGCTACTTAGGAGACTGAGGCTATTAGTTTTCAAGAGATCAAGGGCAGCTGGACCATATAGTGAGACCTTATCTCAAAATAAAATAAAAAGGTCTGGATGATAGAGTGTTTGTCCAGCACAAGCAAGATCCTGGGTTCAATTCCCAATACACAAAAACAAACACAAAAAAAAAAAACATGCTGGGGTGGGGTGTAGCTCAGTGGCAGGCCATATTGCAAGAAAAATGTGTGTGTGTGTGTGTGTATGTATGTGTGTGTGTGTGTATAAAGAAATTATATAACATAAAGGTATAAAGGCTTCTTCAAGAAAATATAAAATACGTAAGTATAAAGACTGATATTAAGTAAACTACTACTTTGTATCTTTAAACTTCGTTAAGATACCATAAGCAATTTAAGATACCATAAATGACATATAAATGTTATTAAGTCTTAACAAGAATATATTATTATCTTCTATAGGATCAATACGGGGGGGGCAGTCTAAATGAAACATTGTCAAAGGATAGGCACAAATAACAAATATTATCAATAAAGAAACAAATATGTCCAACAGCATAGAAATCAGAACGCTCCACCATAAAATGAAATATTTCAACAATAATTGTCAGTAAGGATAAGGAGAAATGATATTCTCCAACAACACCGGTAAAAATGTAAATTCAGAGGCCCATTGAAAGAGCAATCTAGAAATTAGATTGGACATATTCATTCATACAGCAATTCAACTTCTATTACTTAAATTATGATGTATCTGCCTTATAAAATATTAAAGAAAGAATAAAACAGCTCTATATCATCACTAGTAGAAACTTCTGCAATGAAAAAAAATATAGAAAAAAGAAAAGAAATTTCTGCAATAATGGAAATGTTCTTTATGAGCTAGGGATGTGGCTCAGTGATAAAGTGCTTGCCTAACATGTGTGATGTCCTGAGTTCAATTCCCAGTATGGCAAAATATATATATATATATATATTCAGGAAATGTTGTTTATGCTATCCAATATGGTAGCACAGGTGATTACTGTGTACTTGAGTAACTGAGGAATGAAATTATAAAATTAACTTAATTAATCTAAGTATAAATTTATATAACCAAACGTATACAATGAAGTGGAAAGATCTCTACAACATAACATTAAAATTATTTTATAAATACAAGAATCTATGCAGGGCTGGGATTGTGGCTCAGTAGTAGAGGGCTCGCCTAGTATTCATGAGGCACCGGGTTCAATCCTCAGCACCACATTAAAAATAATAATAATAATAATAATAATAATAATAATAATAATAATAATAATAATAATAATAATAATAATGTGTCCACCTAAACTAAAAAAAAAATACATAAATATTTTAAAAGAAGAATCTATGCAGTATAAATTTCATTTACGTAAACAACAAAACACACTGTCATCTGATATGTCCAGGGACATTCCAACGTATGTAAATCAAAAGAGAAGTACCTGGAAGGACAAATACGAAGTTCACAATAGTGAATTAGGGGGGAGGACTTTTGCTTTCTATGAAAATGTAACAAAAATTATCATCATATTTTTTCAGTGCTTTACCCACTGAAAATATCCCCCGTCCTTTCATTTTTATTTTGAGACAAGGTTTCACTAAGTTCCTAAGGGTCTTGCTAAGTTGCTAAGCTGGTCTCGAACTTGCAATCCTCCTGCCTCAGCTTCCAGTGTCAACTGGAATCACAGGCAAGTGCCACTGTACCCAGCTAAAAATTATTTTTAAAGATAAAAACTGGAGAAAAGGGGAAGGGTTGTTTAGTCACTGGGAAACCCATGTATAGGTAAAGTGTTGTCTTGAAATTCATTAAAAAAACTATTCCTCTAACGAAGCTCCTGTCACTATAGACGTAGTTGATGCAAGAGAGCTATGATTGTGTTATATGTGCCACCTTGTAAAGGGTTAATAAAAGCTGGGTGAGGTGGCACATGCCTGTAATCCCAGTGGTTTAAGAGCTGAGGCAGTAGGATTGTGAATTCAAAATCAACCTCAGCAACTTAGAGAGGCTCTGTCTCTAAAGTATAAAAAGGGCTGAGGATGTGGCTCAGTGGTAAAGTAGCCCCTGGTTCAATCCCTGGTACAAAAGAAGAGTTAATAAAACTATAAATTTTCTCCTCTTTACCCCAAAATTCAATTGATTTTACTAAGGATGGTTCTTTGGTAGCTTCTCACAACCTGCATCAGATATCTGTCATCAGAGTCAACTAGTTTGTCACCTCTACAAAGAAATTTTCCCCATTCCAAGTTGCTTGTGATGAGGGACTGTGTTTTTCAACATGAACCTCCTCTGCGCCCAGTATTATGACTCACAGGTAAACATCATCTCGGTTAGAGATAATGCTGAAAACAAAGCTATTATAAGCAAATGTTTAGATATTAACCCCAAAACTATTTCCTTGTTTTTATTCCTGTATTTTAAACTGTCGCCAAAAGGATTCCTTTCCAAATCCACTTGGTAACTTCAAAGCTTATTTAAATGTTTATTGTGGTAAACAACTCTAGAAGTAATATAATTTCTGAGTTACATATAAGAAAGTCAAATAGTTTTTACATGACAAGGTATTCTAAGCCAGGTGAGGAGTTTCAAATAAATTCTCAAATGTTACCTTTGTGTGTGCTTTGGGCAAATAAATTCTCAAATGTTACCTTTGTGTGTGCTTTGGGCAAGATACAGATCTTATTTAATGTATTCATAGGATGTGGTATATAAACCTGATTCTCCAAAATGACTGAAGAAGACTTTTAAAGTAACATTTAGCCAAGATCTTTAATATGGTGAATAAACATTTAAAACCTCTATCTATACAACCATATACCTGTAATCCCAGTCACTTGGGAAGATCCCAGGTTTAAGGTCCGTCTCAGGAACTTAGCAAGACCCCAGTCAACTTAGCAAGTCCCTATGAAACTTGGCAAGACCCTTTCTCAAAGTAAAAAATAAAAAAGAGCTAGCTGGAAGCAGTCAGTGCCTAGGAATCCCTGCAGGTAATCTCCAGTATCAAGAAGAAAAAAAAAAAAAAACCAATACCTGTATTTACGCATTTGCTGTTTTCACAGATATAGGCTGCTGCCACTGGGACCCATGAAGTCTTAAGAATACTTACTACCTATGGGCTGGAGTTGTGGCTCAGTGGTAGAGCACTTGCCTAGCATTTGTGAGGCACTGGGTTCAATTCTCAGCACCACATATAAATAAATAAATAGGTCCAAATAAATAGTATTCTTTTTTTTTTTAATAATTTAAAAAAAAAAAGAATACTACCTGTGTCAGGAGTTGTTTAATAACCCATAACTAATGACACAGGAGAATGAAAAGTCCAGAAAACAAATGAAAGAACTGCTTCTCCCATTCCTATTCCTACTAAAAAGCAAGTCCCTAATGTTTTTTCATATATAGAGAGGGAAATTTTATTCATCTATTCCATTCAGTTTTGAAAAACTAATCATTTTCTAAAACTGCACTTCCAAGTCATTCAAGTGGTTCTTTGTTTGTTTGTTTGTTTTGGTTTTTTTTTTTACTCCCCTCTAGTTCTTTCTATTGAGTTTGTGATGTTTGGCTACTTTCCTTTAAGTCTTTAGAAAATTACATGGTTTAGAGGGGAAAAAAATAAATTGTCCTTCTGGGAAGTAATAATATGACAAAGCATCCAATTCATATTAAGTAACTTCAGTTTTCCTCTGGGATCTTCCTAAAAGTGTGTCCAAGTCAACCTTAATCAACCTTTTCAAACAAGAAATAGCTATCTTTAAAGACAAAAATTATGCAACCTTTCTGAAATGGAAAACCAAAAGCATATTTTTTAGGTCTTCTCTCTATGGAAGTCAAATTTTTCTTTTAAGTAAGGTCCTAAACTCTAGACATTTGGAAATATATGGATATTTGGACATTTCTCATTTTGTCAAAGGGTAAAAATGATAAAGATAGCAGTAATGCCATCTAAAGAAGTGCTGTCAGAATTCCTTGAATAATCACCAGAGAATAATTTCCAGCACATTTAGGACTTCACCTTCCCCAGTCAGAATGATGAATGTTAAGACAGTCAAATCGCATTTGCCCTTTGATGCTTAGCACTAGAGTCAAAGACAAAAGGCTCCACTTGAGCTTCATGAGATTAGATACATCACAGCAACTATAATTGGCACTGTAACTAGAGAGTAAACCTGTTAATAAAAGCAAAAGCACCAACAAGTGACTGTAACCCTCAACCAAAGAATGATTTCTTCTAGTGATTTATTTTTGGTTTTTGGAAATGGATGTCCCTAGATCTGCATATGAAATCTGTGAACCGCTCCCCACATGTGCCTCCTGAGCACCTGATATGTGACTAGGTCAAGCTGAGAGGAGAGTAAAACATACACTGGATTTCAAGGACTTAATATAAGTCAAATAATATAAATAGTCTCAACAATTATTCATGATATTCAATACTAAGCAAAATAAAATGTTTTAAAAACTAATCTCACCTGTTTCCACTTGCTTTTTTTTATAAATGTAGTCACTAGACTATCTTAAAACACATATATAGCTTCTATCTGCAGGTTGCGTTATGCTTCTGTTGGATAATATTACTGGAGACTTTATAATAAGTTTTCTTGGCAATTATCTAAATATGAGCTGTTTATCTCTCCACTACCACCATAGTTTTCCATGATATTCTTTAGGGCTTCCTAAATACCAACTGAATAATCTTCTAAGGATACATTTTCTGATTTCCTTTTTCCTAAGAACAGCAGAGCCGCACATGACAGGGTACAGAGGAGAGCTCTTTGTGCCTGCCCAAAGGGAATCTAGTTCATTCTGACCAGACCAACCACAATACCAATAAAACACAGCCAGAGTTCCCAGGGAAGAGATAATCTATGCTCAAAACAATTAGGGGGAAACAAAAACAAAAACATTCCAAACCCTACATGAATAGGAATACTGTACTCAAGTTTTTCATGACTTCCTGTATTAGAATCTCTTTAGTCCTTGTCCCCTTTAGGGGAAAGGGCATACGAATTTTTCTCAGGCATAAGCCGCTTAAATCGTTTTCCTAATCCAGATAAACCACATCCTTTCTGGTGTTTCAGCACTGACAGGTGTGGGTATGCACATTCACACAGGCATGTGCATGTTGTGTGTCAAGTTAATAATAAACACTGAAATTTGCTTTCAAACACCTCTCTCTTCATTTGCTATAGGCTACACTTAAGTTGAATACTGGGTTGTGCAGTGTGCTTTGGCCCAAGGTCCAACAAAGCCTTGAACAACCCTACTTGTTGGTAAATGGAACAGTTTGCTCTCCTCACACATATACCCATACACATACACTCACAGTGAATGGACTCTTCACAAAAAGTCCTGAACTTCATTTTGAACCTTCTCTGGCCATGGCACAGAAAGCTCCTCCTCCCAAGATCCACAGCTTTAGTGAGAAGCCCCACATTCTGCTTTTCTTCTAAGACCTTGGGTTTCCCTTACCTTGACTTGCTCATTTGAGGTTACAGCACAGAAAACAATCTCTGTGAATCCTTGGGATGGGAACATACGGAAACAGATACCACCAATAACACGGCCATCTTTAATTAAAGCAAGGGTTTTGTGTTTCCTGAAAGAATAAGATTATGTCAAAGTTTTACCTATCTTGGTGATAGGAATATACTTTTTGAGGCATTCTTTAATAACCAAGAAGGGGGTTCTCGCCTTGAGTTTCTATGGGAACTTCCTTCATCTAGCCACTATCTTCACTAGACCATCCTTCCACCTAGACTTTTTAGAGCACGAAACTTCATCAGAGTTCCCCTCAGTACCAGAGGCAACTCGCCTAAGAAGTGTGTGAAGTCTACAAATGCGAAACGGAGAATGTGTGAAGGTGCTCTGAAACTGATGCACCCAATTCCCAGGGGACCCACCGTGGGGGGGTCAGGGAATGCTCATGTCATGCCCAAACATGGCATGTATTTCTGAAGGGTTTGTTCTTACTCAAAAACATTACAGAAACATTATGGAAAAAACACACAAAATCCACACATCCAATTGGTGAAACTGTATACAGAATTTATCAGACCTTCTCTGTAAAGCATCACTCTGAACTGTCACATGTATATATTATAGTTCATATGGGCTATTGGGCTATATGTACTAGAACACATCCAATTAGAGAAGTGTGTGAGAGAGAGAGAGAGAGAGAGAGAGAGAGTGTGTGTGTGTGTGTGTGTGTGTGTGAAAGCAATGGATTTTCAAAGTTAATCTGTCTTATATACCAATAATTTTCCCAGTGTTCGCTGACCTTGGCAACAATGGAACCCACTTAAATCAACAAAACCAAAATGCTTTGATGATGAAAAAAGAAAGGCGACCTCTTATTGTGTATATTCTCTCACTGCTAAAATGAATGAAGCACAGGATAGTCGCCAGCAATTTAAAATATAAAGCTCCATTATTGTTAACTTTTATACATTGTTGAAAAATTAATCATAGTGCTTTTCGATGTGAAGATTAACTTGATGTAACCTATACCCACGGTGTGACATGAGGCAAGAGGATTCAGTGGGTGGTAAGGGCTGACTTTCACTATCTAAGAGGAACTACTCTTTCACTTTAAAAGGAATTAAAGAAAAAGAAAGAGCAAAGCTCAGCTTACGGGTCAAAGACAAGCCGTGTGATGTATTCTTTTGGCATTCGGGGCAGCTGATGGGAGAACACATTCTGTAGGCCAACCAGCCACATCAGGATCTTCTTGTTTGGTTTCTGGTTCAGGGAATTGCCGATCACATGAAACTCGATTACACCTCTCCGTTCTTCCAGCCTTGCTGCCTCGTCCCTAGCCGAATGTGCTGACAAAAAATTGGTCTGAGATGCAAGAGGCAGGGGGAAAAAAAAAAGAGTTATTGTCAAGATAGTGAAGCTGGAACATATCAAAACTTGTCTTCTAAACTGGGTGTAATGGAGCACACCCGTAATCCCAGCTACTTAGGAGGTTGAGACAGGAGGATCCCAAGTTTGAGGCCAGGTGGGACAACTTAAAACAAAAAGGAGTTAGACACTGAGTCAGAGATTAAAAAGTGCTTGGGCTGGGATTGTGGCTCAGCGGTAGAGCACTTGCCTAGCACAGGTGGTACCCAGGTTCGATGCTCAGCACCACATAAAAATAAAGGCATTGTGTTGTGTCCATCTACAAAAAAAAGATTCTCTCTAAAAAAGATTATAAAAAAATTATAAATTATAAAAAGTGCTTGCCTAGCATAGGCAAGGCTCTGGTTTCAATCCCTAGTACTATACCAAAAAAAAAAAAAAAAAAGTCCTTCTCTTCTTTATTCTGTTAAGATACATATTTGTGATTTTTCAGGGTCCTAAACACATGCACAGGTGAGAAAACATGCATATGCATGCACATGCACATACATACACATGCACACCACGAGTTAGGAAGACAGAAAAGTTTGGTAAAGATTGTACTGTAAGAAAGCTGAGTACTACCTATATATAAGGGTGGTATGTGGTATAAAATTAGGTATCAGCAAACTTTTCTATAAAGGGCTAGATAGAAAATATTTTAGACACTTTGAGTCATAGGGTATCTTCTATCTTTCTACTCAACTGCTACTGAAGTGCGAAAGCAGGTACAGTCCCCAGGACACCCCCCACCGAAAAAAAAAAAAAAGCCAGTTATAGAATATAAGAACAGGTGTAATAGTGTGCCAATAAATTTTTACTTGAAAAAAAAAAAACAGATTAGATTTGGCCTCTGAACTATAGTTTGCCAACCCCTAAGGAATCTCATTCAGCTGAGTTTTCAAGACTCTTGAAATGACACATCTCAAAATTCTCAGAATAGGCCCAAAAGTGGCAGTCACACTTACATTCTTGCATCTCTTTTTGGAGGACAGTTTTCTTCCCAGAGGAGTATGTGTTGAACCACACTAACCACAGCTGGCAGTACAACCTTTGCTTGCACTGTGTGTTCCCATCTTACATAACTCACCAGGTGGTATGCAGGCAAATGTTCAACAAACAGCTCTTCAGAGAAGAAAAGTCCTAACTGGCATCACTTGCTCATTTCATTAGCCTACAGCTGGCTGTCCAGGTAACCAGGTGCTACTAGAGCCACTTTCAAGCTACTAAGATGTTTAATAACCAGCTTAACAATTTAACAATTCTCTTTTTCATGCCAGTACAAGCCAGCTCTGGTATAATACTAAATCCACACAATAAATTCTGAAATGGTTGACTGAATCCCCACTTCATAGCTGGAAAAAAAAAAACTAAGCTAATCTGTGAAGTTACTAATACTCTAAAATACAAGTATAGAAAAGGAACTAGAGTTTTTTAAGTCTCCACAGACTGAATCTCTAGAAAAAAATGGAAGGAGTAATTTTATGATGAGATCTTTTTACTCTGATATTCCAGTTTTTCGAATTATCCTCAATACCATAAAGCAAATATCCAAGGAATACAGCAAAGTAAAAATTAATACTTGAATTTACCAGAGCCACACTAAAAAGCCATAAAATTGTTTATAAAATGATGTCCAAGCCATCTTTTCATTTCTTGGAAGCAGTATAAAAAATCTCTTAAGTCACCCCGCCCCTGGGGTGCAAAGCAATGAAAAGACAGCAGTACTTTTACCAAAAATGCTTTGCTTGAATCAATCAAACCACTGGTTAACAATCAGACAAACCCAAAGAGAGGGACATTATGCAAAGCAATTGACCAAGACTAATCAACAATGTCAACATTGCAAAAGACAAAAAGCTGAAGAATTGTTTTAGATTAAAGGAGACTAAAGAATGAAGTAATAACAACTAGATGCAATGCATAATCCCTAACTGATCCCTCAACAATGGAAGGATGAAATTGAGATGAATGGAGAACTGGGGTATGGGTTGTACCCTAGGCCAGGGGTCAACAAACGTCTCAGTAAAGGACTAGATATAAATATTTTATGTTTTGTGAGCCACATATCCCCTTTTTTAATTATTCAAATATGTTGTTGTATGGCCAACCAGCCATAGATATTTCTAAAAACTAAGTGGGCCACACCTGGCTCATAAGTTGTAGTTTACCAGCCCTGTGTTAGTCTTATTCTCATGAAATACAAGCAAAAACGGTTAGGGGTTAAGTATTACAACATTGTTTTTTAGTCTAAAGTGGTTCTAAATGATTCACAGAAGAGAGAAAGGGAGAGACAGGAAAGTCAGATGTGGTGTAATGTTAACACACTGCTGAATCTAGACCAAGGGCTATGGATTTTTTATTGCAGGATTTTTGCAACATTTATGAGGGTTCAAAATTCTTCAAGACAAAACTTTCTCAACTATGTGAAATCACTGGTATGTGACCCTGGGATGTGATATTCATCAAGGAGAATTGGTCACCTTTTGATCAGCAATTGCTACCCTCCCCACCGTGACCACCAGCTCGAATGCAGATTAGGGTGGCATGTGAACTCTAAGCATTGCCACCCCCATTTCTGAGAGCTGGAGTGGCCAGGAGACCATAGGGGGTCTGTCAGCTGGCTGCCCAGTTTACCCTGCTGACCTCTGGTCCAAGCATCGCTGCAGGGTCTGTGATGGTAGACATGACCTCATTGATCAATTCCATAGGAATATCCCCCATAACTCGGGGTCTCTTGGCCTCCTCCAGAACGTGAGAGTCATTCATTTTCCTCTTTTCTCCTATGATAATCACAATAAAAGACAAACAATGGGTGGTTTTAAACATAAAACAGAAAATATATGCCAACTATCCAACTACTGTTCTAATAACGTTGATGGGTGCGGAGGTTGACTCTCACTTCATCAGGAGAAAAGGTGGCAGAAGGAGTAGGAAAAAAGGGAGCAGGTCACAGTGATTTCCAACCCGGATCCATCTGGAATATTTCCTATTTGCTATGATAATTTTTAACTTGATCTATGAGTTATTAAAGCAAATGTTTCTTCATTTGCAAAATATAAAGGAATGTTCTAGTCATTATTGGTTAGTAATCCTAATATAGTCTCTTTGTAGTAAGAGGATAGGGTCCATATGACACCAAAATACAAAAAAAAAAAAAAAAAAAAGTTTGACAGCCGTTTTATGGCCTAAAATAAAACCAATTTTTTGAAAATAAATGTGCAGCGTCTTCATGGAAAGAATATGAATTTTCCAGTTCTGAGGAATAATGATCTCTAACATCCATTAGCTTAAGCATGTTTATCATGTTTTTAAGGCTTCTACATCTTTATTGATACATTTGCCTGCTTCATTGATGAATTACTCAGGGTTGTGTATTGAAACTTTAAACTATTATTTCTTCTGGTAGCTCAAGGAGAAATACACATACTCAAGCCTACGAGTATATATATGTATACACATATGGTATATGAATTGTTTTCTTCTAGACAAATAATTTATTTTATTATAAAATGACTGACTTTATAATTAACTTTTCCCCATTTCTGCACTTTGGACCAGGGGTAGGGGTAGGGAATACCATTGAACTTTTTATTATTTATTTTATTTTTTTAGAGACAAGGTCTCACTAAGTTACCCAGGTTAGCCTCGAACTTGTGATCCTCCTACCTCAGCATCCCAAATTGCTGGGATTACAAACGTGTGCCATACACCTGGCTTTTTATTAGTGGGAGGAGAGGGCCTTAAAACCTCACAAAGTGCCCCTGGCCTATAATGTAGGTGCAATTAACATGTCACATGCTGAGAAGGCCATGCAAAAGCAGAGAGAACATTTTCCCACTTTCCAGGAGACTACATAATCGCTTTTCCCCTTATGATGGTCAAGTTTTGTTTTTCCAGGTTTTTACTTTCATAAAATGTATTCATTTTTAAAATTAATTTTTTTCAACTTTTACATGTTTGAATCTAATTTATTCCTCAGATGTGAACCCCATCAAGCACACTGCCACATAGTGTTTTCACTCTCTTTAGTTAAAAAGGAACAGAGTGATACCAAGTTTCTGGTCTAGAGAAGATGCTTCCATATTATATATTACTTAATAAATAGCTGTATATAACTCTTACATTGCTGTTTTTAGAGAAAAGAATATTTTCAGATATCTGACCAATAAATCTTCAAATTCTATGAGTGACCAAGGGAAATGTTGCAAACTATATGTTTTGTAGATGAGGTTTACACCTGTCGTGGCTGAAATCTGAAAGACTGACAGTATTATTATAAGAAAGCATTTCAGCTGCATTCCAACTCATTGGTAGAGAGAATAGCATACATGCTAAATATACTTCATATAAGAGCCTCTTCTCTCCCTTTTCCTAGCACTTCTTTTATTTCAAAGTTTAATCCTATCCATAATTTGTTTGAATAGACAGTTTTAAGTCCAATCTGTGGACAGAAAGGAACCCTTAAAACATTCTTTGTGGCTGGGGATATAGCTCAGAGGATATAGCATGCTAGGAAAGCACTAGAAGCCTGAGGCTCAACCCTATAGTGCAACAAAAAATAAAATAAAAATAAAAATTCTATGATTATAAAATATTTCTACGATTAAAAGATGCTTGTGCCCATGTGGCAGATTACTTTAATGACCAAATTCTTTACCCTGCTATCATCCACATGCTTTGCCATGTGACTGCAGCTTTTCCAACAAAAAGAATAGGCAACATTTCTCCCTTTCTCTACCCCTTTGACTCTGAATTCAAATGTGTGACTTGCTTTCAATGACAAAATGAGGCAGAAGTGATAGAGTAACAGTTCCAAGTCAAGGCTTCAAGACACTGCATATGTTTTCTTGCTCTCTGGTGCTTCTGCCACTGTCACAAAAAGGACATTTCTGCACAGCCCAAGGTCCCAGAAGGATGATGAGAGATATACAGAACAGAGTTTCTCTCATGTAATTGCTATAGCCAAGTAAAGCCCAGAATACAGGCCCCAGTCAACGAATAGACTTTTAAGTCCACCTCACCAAGATCCCGAGACTAGCTAAGCTCTGCCAACTACCAGACAATACACCAAATGAGTGAGCTATGCTAATTAGTCATTACAGATCTTAAGACTGTATTCTGGATTAGTTTAGTACATAGCAATAACCTACAAACACAGTCCAAATCCTAAACCAAAGTGATTTCCAGACATTAAAATCTGGTCATGCACAATTTGTAATTGGGTTTTGTTTTGTTTTGTTTACTTTTGGTGCTCTGCAGACATTGGAGTTCCCAGGGCAAGTCACAGCCCTCTCATCTCCTCTGAAGAGCTTACCTGGGTTTGCCTCAAGCCCAGAAGAGGCTTTGCAAGCAGGACTGGTGCTCCCTCCATTTGGCTGCTCAAGAGAAGATGAGTTTGAATTGTATGAAACTGTCCCAGCCACAGGAGGTGGATTGATAACTGCCCCAACAAAAGAAAAAGAAGGTATTAAATGACTCTTCTTTTCAGGCAACAAGAAACCAAGACAATAAAAGACCATTTCTATTATTACCAAATACCTCACAAGAAAAGTCATTTTTAAAATAAAAAACATGGACATCAAGATAATAAAGACAGTATTAGTATAACTCATTGAATAAAATAAGTTTCTGAATCCATATTGAAACACATGAATGAATGAATGAATGACGAGGAAGCAAAGTTCTTCTATACAAATGCCAACAAATAAATAAGGAAAGACTGATGGAAGGTAGTTTAAAATTTAAAAAAAAAAATCACTATTTGGCAGCCATCATACAATAACTCATTCGGGAAAGATCATGTATGCAGACTAAACTTTATGAGTATAATTTTGATGAAGACAGAATATTTGCATAAGTCTAGAGTACCTCCTCACAAAAGTATTTTTCAATTACAAAAGGAAAAGTGGGGATGCTATGATGGAGAAAGCCAGCGAACACCAACTTCACCAAGCGATCAAACCCAATGCAAGCAACCATGGTACAAGTTGGCAATCACAAGTTTCCCGAGGTGATGGGAAAGCTGCTATAGACTACATTGTTAAGACAAGAGACAAAACTGAAGAGAGTCTACAGATTAGATGACAATAAAGAAAATATAGAAAAATGTTCATAACTGGTGAATCTAGACCATCTTTTTCCTATTCTTGTAACTCTTCTGTAAATCTGAAAGTACTTCTAAACAAGTTTTGCTGTTGGTGTATGTTTGTTTTGCTATTGTACAAAGAGGATGCTCCTTTGCTAGCTGTGCTGCTTATCCATAGCTGAAAAGGTGAAAAATAATGAGGGGTATAGACATTCTCAGTGACACTGGTCATAGGATGGCAGATCAGATACCCAGAAAGAAAGTTCACCCAACTTTTAATGCAGTCAAAGCTCTTTGTGCAGAGAACAACATTCTCATCGATCAAGAAAGTGATGGAATAAGGAAGCCAAGCAATAGTGAGCCCAACCCACCTACTTCTAACTGAATAGTAATTGATATTCAACAAATCAAAATAAAACCAGGGGTAGTGGTATGCACTTGAAGTCCCAGCTATTGGGAAGGCTGAGGTAGGAAGATGGCTTGAGCCTAAGGGTTTGAGGTCAGACTGGGCAACACAAATAGCCCCCATCTCCCCAAAAAAAAAAAAAAAAAAAAAAAAAATCAAAATACACTGAAATACCAAACTGTAACAGTTTAGGTCAGAAATATTCCCCAGAGGTTTATGTGGTAAAGGCTTGAGCCTCAACGATGCATAATTGAATGAGCCATTGGGAGGTGGTAGAACTTGCAAGTAGAACCTGGTTGGAGGAGGTGGGTCACTGGGGGCATGTCCTTGAAAGTTATGTCTTCTCCCATCTCTCCCTTCTCCTTCCTAGCGGCCGTGAAATGAGCAGTTTTCCTCTTCATGCCCTGTCACCCTGATGTTCTGCCTTGTCTCGGACCCAAAGCAATGAAGCCAACTGACCATGGACTCAAACCTCTAAAACACTGAGCCAACATACATCTTTCCTCCTTTAAGTTGTTTTTCTCAGGTATTTTCTCACACAACAGAGAGCTAACTAATATATATATATAGGCTGTTATGTTTCTTCTTCCAGCATACAGGCCATCTGAATTTCAAAGTACCCTGCAGTGACTCTATACCAAGAGGAAGCTCTAATGATTCAAAGGACATCTTAAGTGTCTTGCAAAACTTCAGAGCCATCATTACAAATGTCATTTATTATAGTTGCATCCGTGCACAGACCTGCCAATTAGGTAAATGATCACACTCATCTTTCCCCTAAAAAGAACACACTGCAATTACAGCACTATGCTGCTGACAGCTTCATGTAATACTAAAGGGACTGTATACTAAAAAGTGTATAATCCCACTCAACTGGGGACGACCTTAGCCACAGAATTAAACACAAAATTCTCACTGAGTCAAAGAACCTCGGCTTTCTTCATCCTGTTCTCTGACAGATAACATGTGGTCAGAACTTGAGCAGATTGGGAGGATTTGGGAAAGACAAGGGTCAAAGGTCTTTTACAAATGGAAAAATCCTCCCCAGAGTCCCTCCAAAAGAAAGCTAAGTTGATCCAGCTGAATCACTTTGGTGTCCCCCTGCCTGAAGGAGGAAATGACGCTCTTCACTCATTCCTTCTGCAAGCCTGAAGGGCACAGCTGCCGTGCACGCCAAGAGAGTGCGATGGGCAGGTAGAGCTCCGGCTCCTGAGGTGGAGTAGGAGTTAGAAATTAGCCCCAGGTATGAAACCCAGCTCCATGCCTTATAAGCTGTGATCTGGGGCAACTTGTTGCTCAACTCTGAACTTCCATGTCCTCAACCACGCAAAAGAGATGATCATTCCAGGTTCCCAAGGTCTTTGAAAAGGCTTAAAGACATAAAGCAGGCCTCAAGCTTCACAGGCAAGCAATTAATAAAAGTATTATTATTGTATTATTATTACTGAAAACCTGGGTCTCTGATCATCAAAGAACTGAATTCATAGAAGAGAAAAAAAATACATAGAAAAAAAAAACAGGGCAAGGATACCATGGGGTGAGTCCTATAAGACACAGTCATTCTCAAATACTGCACATTAGAATTTCACCTAGGAGCTTTTAAAAGTCCCAACGTGTAGGTCACGCACCCCAGGCCAATAACATCCCACTCTCTTGGCGTGGCACTCACAATTCAGAACATTTCAAATCTCCATGGGTGGTTTCACCGTGCAGACACGTTTGAGAATCAAGAATAGGATACAGTCAAGGTTCTAAGAAAGTCTGGAAGAAAGGAGATACAGTCCTGGCAAGGGTGCATGGGAGGAATTAGGAAAGAGTTTGTGGGAGAGATGACATTTGGAAACTAAGTAGGATCAGGACAAAGATCAAATGAGCTGGGTGCCATACCACATGCCTACAATCCCTGCAACTCAGGAGGCTGAGGCAGGAGGCGGCGGCGGCTAAAGTGTGAGGAGGAGGCTGAAGTGTGACGAGGAGGAGGAAGGAGAAGAGGGAGAAAGAAGAGAAGGGAGAGAAAAAAAAGATAAAACAAATAGCACAAGTTCAAAGAACAATGGCCAGTAATTAACAGAGAATGTGTCCAGTAAACACTGTGTCCAGACTGACAGCTCAAGTCTACAGAGAGTGTATAATATGAATGGGTAGGCCTTGTAGCACTGTAGGTTTTCAACCAAACATGAAATTATGACCTAAGGTGAAACTAAAAGGTCACAAAGGTGTCTTTGACATGTTTTTGGTAGCGAGAGCTTTTTTTTAAAAAAAAAAAAGGTTTTGATCAGCTAGCCTCAACAACTTAGCAAGACCCTATCTCAAAATTTTAAAAATAAAATAAAATAAAAAGAACTAGGGATGTAGCTCAATGGTAGAGCACCCCTGGATTCAATCTCCAGTATCCCCACAGAAAAAAAAATTTTTTTTAATTTATATTTAAATTTATATTTGCATTCATGCTTGGGTTTTAGGTTTTTAAAAGCTCATAAATGACTCCTCAGATGCATTTTGCTGATTGGAAGTCATTAGACTCAAAAAAGCATATACTATATGATTCCTTCCAGATGATACTCTATAAAAGGCAAAACTATAGGAACAAAAAAACTGAGCAGTGGTTGCCAGGGCTGCAGTATAACAATGAATGGACTATGAAGGTACTCAAGCGCATCCGTCTGGAGTGATGTGATACTTCCATCTTTTGATGATAATGACGGTTAATCAACTAAATGTATTTGTCAAAACTCACAGTACACTGAAAAGGGTGAACATTACTGTATGCAAATTATATCTCAAAATTTTTTTGGAGGGGATACTAGGGATTGAACCTAGGGGTGTTTTACCACTGAGTTACATTCCCCTGTCATTTATTTTTTATGTTGAGAGAGAATCTTGCTAAGTTGCCCAGGTTGGCCTCCATCTTGGGATCCTACTGCCTTAACCTCCCAAGTAGCTGGAATCTGCATGTGCCATCACACCCAGCCTCTTGATTTGGGGGGAGAAAGGGGGAGTACTAGAGGTAGAACTCAGGAGCACTCAACCACTGAGCCACATCCCCAGCCCTTTTTTTTTTTTTTTTTTTTTGTATTTTTTTTAGAGACAGGATCTCACTGAGTTGCTTTAGCACCTCACTTTTGCTGAGGCTGGCTTTGAACTCACAATCCTCCTGCCTCAGCCTCTGGAACCACTGGAATTACAAGCATGTGCCACCGTGCCTGGCTCTACTTGAATTTTTTTAAAGCAAAAATAAAATAACCTTTGCTGAGGGCAACACTCACAAGCCCCTATACGAACATGAGCTAGAGCTCTATGAAAAACTTTGGACGTGGAAAATTCAACATTCTGTCTTTCCCCACCGCCAGGCATAAATTGTTGCTTCAGCACTTTTTTTTTGGGGATTGAACCCAGAGGTGTTTAACCACTGAGCCACATCCCTTTCCTTTTTTTTTTTTTTTGCACTTTTTTTTTGGGGGGGGGGGGGTTGGCGCAAACTTCTGTCTTCCAAGTGTCAAAGGCTGGAATTCAGATCCTTTTCCTGGGATCACTGTGACTACAAAACACATCTCTCTCCCTTCCTCACAAAATGCCAACTGATGCCACCAGCTGACCTAAGGAAATGAAAGAGATGCCCTGCCCTACTGAAAAGTATTTCACATCCTGAAACAGATTATCACTCTCTTCCACTCACTAACCCACCATTATCCTGGGTAGTAAGTGGATGTATAAAACAGACACCACAGAGTAAGAAGCCAGACTGAGACTTGATTCCTGGGCCTATTTAGCCATTGACTGAGATTATAAGTATCTCTGAATAAAGCCAGCAGCTGACTACAGAGCTGAACAACGGGTATGTTACACCTCCCATAAAATTGCAATGTGCAAGCTAAGGCTTCCTGCAGTTACTGTTGTTCTAACTACTCGGTGTGCACCTGCACTCCTCACTGACAGACACAGTTACAAGGCTCTGGTTTGTACCCACTTTCTCCTCATTAATAGGATACAGATGCAAGATTCACCAAAGTGCTTGCTTTTTTGCTGGCTCTAATCTTTAATTTCCTGATGACATGCAGAATGAGCTACAAGGAACACTTCAAGTTGGCCTTCCTGATGGTTAATTAATGTTAAAAGAAATTTACCTGTTTGGATTCCTAGCTGGCTGGTTCTGGAAGAGGCTGATAGAAAATCCTGATCCCAGATAGGAGAGTTTTGACTATAAACTTCTTCCTCTAACATGGACAAAAACCTAAACACAAGAGTAAAAATAATAGTAAGATAAAAAGAGTGAAAAAAAAATTAACGTGTTATTAGAGGGACAAAAGCCCTAATCATCTATGGCAATCACCCTAACCTCTGAGTCTCACCTTCAACTCATAATACACTAGGGAAACAAGACTGAAATGACGACTTATTTGGGTAGCCCTAACATATTTAAATACAGAAATGCATTTCTACAAACTATTCTCTGTTGACCTTATACAGCTGCATGCAACATAAAATACACAGAACATTACACCATGGAAGTGCATTAGTCTTCCCCAGTGAGACTCAGCACACAATTTCAGCTCTCCATGTGGCTGTCATTGTCACTGTCATTACCACCACAAAAGTTGCTAATGTTGATTGAATGTTTGCCTCGTGCCTGAATTGCTCCAGGAACTTCTTACTGAATCCTCATGAGACTTACAGTATTATATATTTTATTTACCACATGGTTACATGTAGTTCTCACTATGTGATAGGTAGTATTATCAGCAGGTGAGGCTTACTAATTCACTTGATCTTCATGTTGATACCATGAGATAGAATCACTTACTAAACCCATTTTACAGATGCAAAAACTAACGCACTGCGAGATTAAATAACTGGTCCAAGTTCCCATAACTGCAAAACGGCAAGGCCAGGATTGGAACCAGTGTTTAATTACTAAGCTAACTTCCCATCATCTTATAACCAAAAGCATCTCAGGTTTTGGAAGCCCACAATAATCTCCTGGAGTTTCCTATCATATGGAGAATAAAAATAATTTTTTTTTTTTAAATAGAAATACCTAAAAGCACTAAAAGTAGTTCACCGTAGTAAGACCATAGGTGATCTTTTTCTTCTTTTTACTTCTCTAAACCATGTACTTTTCTGCAACATGTACATTTATTACTTTTAGAGTGAAATACAGGCATTAAGTTTTTAAAGAAAACTGGCAAATAATAGAAAATAAGGGGAAGAAAGGCACAAGTTAAAGCCAAGCAGCACAAAAAAAACAGCATATGAGGACAGAAAAGATAAGGATAAAAGCCCTGACCATGCATCTGAGAGCCAGCGTCCTCAATGGATGCTGGCAAGCTGATCCCAGCTCTCACTCTGAGATATCCCAAGACTCAAATAGCGCCTCAGACCTCAAAATGTGTTGATTCTGCTTTCAAAACTGTAGGTTGAATCCCCAACAGCCTAGAATGTTGTCATATTCAGTGAAAGGGGATTTAAAAGCAGAAGTGGGTGGTAGTGTTACCCTACTATTAGTAACAGAGAAGAAAGCAGCGTTGATTTTTTAACTCAACAGCATAAGCGTGCCAGAACTGAGGGCTGATAGAACAAAACACACTATAATTAGCAAATATCTGCAAGAAGAAAATGAATTTGCTATGGGGGGAAAAAATGTCACTATGCAAAGTAATTAAAATTTATCTTTGAGCAGCATAACAGGTGTGTGTGTGTGTGTGTGTGTGTGTGTGTGTGTGTGTGTTGGGAGAGGGTGGTCACTCTTTGTCCCTTGTTCCTTGGCTTAGAGACAGAATGGCAACTATCATCATAATATAGAAGATGTCACTTATGAGGCAAATAGAGAAATAAGTATGAACTGCTTCAATATCTAAGGAAAAAAGCTTAGACCAGTTAATATAGCCACTGAAAGGCATGAGCATACCCAAAAATTTTAACTCATTTGAGAGGTTAACATTTAAATTGCAGTTTAAGTGCCTTGTCTCATCTGCTGGTTTCCTGGGGATAAATCAATCTGACAATCAGGATGCTAGGAAATATGTGAAAATATCTGTTGTTCAGGTGAAGAGTCTGTCAGCATTATCCAAGACATCCTCCATCAAAGTTTTAGGCTTTGGATTAAACTGCCAAGGAATTTTCATTTTCTATCAGAGAAGCATTTTCATCATTGGTATTTGGACCAGACTTATATTTTTAACAATTAAAACCGTGTTTCCTGAGACACAAAATTGGATACTCCAATAATATCATCTTAGTAATAAAAATCTAATTTCTCAAATAAAACAGATTTCAATTCAATTACCTCTGGTCAAAAAAGATAATACCTCCTCTCACACTCTATTCTCTAAATCAGCAGTTCTCAAGAGGGTGAGGCTATATCATACCTAGATAGAGAGCCTTTTGAAATTACACCCTCTCCCTCCCCCACCAAGTACAGATCAGGCAGCAAAGTGAACTGTTTCATTCATGTCTTACTCTCTCTGCTCCACAATGTTATCAATTGTGCCCTCAGTCCCTCTTACTAGCAGCCAAATTCTTTGGTTTAAATTTTTGCTTCTTAGCATTGAAAATGCATTTCCAAGGCCAACAGCGCAGCCCTTCAATGTTCTTCTGCTTTGACACATTCTCTTCATTTAAAGATATTGAAAAGATAATGTCTCAGAGCTCTGGTAGAGTAAGAGGCACCAGAATATGTATATTCTATAAGAAATTGAGTGCAGAGATACAAAGGTCATGCTAAAGGAAGCCTCTACTCTCGGCCAGCCCTCCTTTTTGTTTTTAAGAAAGACAGGGCTTCACTAAGTTGTCCAGGCTAGCCTAGAACTTCTGATCCTCCAGCCTCTGCCTCTCAAGCAACTGGGATTACAGGCATGTGCCACCGCACCCAGTTCTGCTCTTACAGTCCAGTTTCCAAAGCATGTGGAACAGAGATAGAGGCAGGTAGTTCACCAGTACTTAGAGATGGGTGGAGAATAGGAATGAAAAACAAAAACAGCCACTTGAGTTCTTTTATACCACCTGAGTGGATGGAACCTGTGGATATGCATCCTCCCCCATCATCCTTTAGTTTCAACAAAGTGCTGGCCCACTATAGGAGACCCCGAGACAATGGCCCAGATGGTGGAAGGTGAATGGAACTTGTAAGGGACAATGGTTGCAGTTATCAAGCTAATAAAAACTGGAACACACCCAAGAAGACGGACAAAAGAAATTGAGGGACTTTCTTCCCAAGGATGCTTGTTTATCATTCCAGATTTTGTTATCTATGCAGGCTTCGACATGTATTAGCAACCTGAAGTTCTGCAAGAGCAAGAGTTCTCCCTTACTTTGGGAAATGGGTGAGGATTAGAGTTCGTTTCTCAAGAGGCAGTTTGTCTTTTTCCTGTCTTGCTTGTTCCAGGAGCTGTCGCCTCATGACAGTGAAGACTGAGCGAAGCAATGTTCTCCCGAACACCTGGGTGGTTTCATACCGAGGTAGACTGTCACAGAACTGTGGCACATTGCAGTAACACAGCCACCTGCAACGAGGAGACAAGAACCCTTAGTGTCTCATGCAAAATATCCTATTATGGTGACTCAATTACAATTACCCACCAAGAAACTAAGCCTGCAATGATAAGCAAGAACATAATGACCAGCCAGTAGAACTTGAGAATTAGAATAGATTTCCCTTAAACCACTGTGTGGGTCCAGTTCTGTTAGAATCATCCTATTCTGCTACATCATACACTAAGTCATAGAGTCAAACAGCCCTGGAATCAAATCCTTGCTTTGCTACATAACTGGCTTTTTGTAACTTTGGAAGTTTTATGTTATTCAGTCTATACTTCCTTACCTATAAAATAGGGACAACAATTATAGCAAATTCATTCAGTTATTTGAATATTAAATGAAATAACACGTATAAGACGCATTGTGTAATTCAAGTTTCTGGCACATAAATTAACAATAGTTTAAATAAAAGAAACAGGTAAAAAGAGAAGCTGAGAAAGTCCCACTGATGAAATAATCAGAATCCAGCAGACTAGTCCTGAGTGGAGTTTAAGATTTCTTTAAAATGCCCAAGCAGAACTCAGATATTACTAAAGCTACAGTGGGAAAATAGGGTTTTTTTGTTTTGTTTTGTTTTGTTTTGTTCTCTTCAATGTCATTTTATTAAGATAGCATGTATTGTCAGTGGCTTAGAAGCTATGAAAATAAAGAGTATAAACAGTTCTAATGCAGTATAATAAAAGTCATTTATGAGTATTATGCTAAAGAAATATTTAGATAGCTTGATAACTCTTCCAAGGGAATGAGAATGTAAATAGAAGGTAACACTGTTCCTATCCCAAATAAGTATGACCATGTTCAAATACTTGAAAATTATTTCTGCTGTTGGTTAGTTGTGAGGCCCTTTGCAAGAAAATTTCTTTCTCTAATCCTATATTTTCAAGTGAGAGACTGAACTTGACTGTCATGTCCCAAGTTTTTTTTTCATTTCTTTTTTTTTTAATTTTTACTTATTTTTTAGTCATACATGACAGTAGAGTGCATTTTGATATATAATACATACATGGAATGTACATACATCAATCATATTGTCTATTCTATTCTGCTGTCCTTCCTATCCTCCCTACTCCTCCCCTCCTCTCCCATCCTTTCTATCCAAACTAATGTGACACACTTTTTTTCTTTTTCCTTTTTCTCAGTACAACATCATATATGTATTCTGTATAACAAGGAGGTTCTCCTTCCATCTTCTGTGCAACTCCCCTGCTCCCTCTGGAAGATAGGATCTTCAAAACTGTTCAAAACTCTCTCAAAATACAGGAAGTAGTAAGCTTCCACCATCTGTCACCAGGTACACTTTGCAATGACTCAAAGTTGAAAATGCGCTTCAGTGTTGCAAGAGGCTGCAGGAGAGCTCAGACCAGAGGGAAATGTGGGGTTTTCTTGAGATCTGACTTCAGTTCTGGGTATGCTGGCACTTGATGGTGTTTAATGTAGAAAGCTAGAGAATGAAAGACCTTTCAAAACTGTGGTCATTTGGGGCAGAGGGGTGTCACGGAAGTCTCCTAGAGATGCAAGGTATGAAATTCCCAGGACCCAGCAAAAGGGATGCAACAATGGGAGTCACAGAGGATGGTACCAAACCAGGGAAATCTGGTCAAAAGAGTCATTTCACAGATCCTTATTTCTTGGTAGCAGATCCAAATCATCCTCTTCTACGATAGGGCTGCTTTTCAAAACTTAAAAGCTTTCCTCCCCGTGTGCTTTTCCTGTTCCTATTTAAATTAGGAGAAGCTTTCTAATGTGCCCGAACTGCCACAGGAAGTGCTCCATGAACCCCAAGCCCTTTAGAATGGAATAATACTGATCCACTCATGCCAGAGTCCTTTTCCTGTGGATCACATATTTACCCCATAAGTTGGTGATGGAGGTGGTGGTGCTTCGCCTTTATAGATGAAAACTTTCGTCTGTGTTAGCTCATCTGCACAGCACAGATTCACATTTAATCTTAAAATCCTGCTACTCTTTCTATTACTCCTCTCAAGTTTTCTCTTTGTAATTTATACCCAAATGTCATTTTACAATACTGAAATGGGCTCCTATGTGTTATACTGTGTCATGTCAAACTGAAAGCAGTGAGTGTAGTAGCAGAAAAAAAACTAGAAAGAGCATTTATTTTGTAAATCATAAGATACTTTATAGAGAAATTCATCATGCTCACAAACCAAGCCTTACTGAATGTTAACACTTGATAAAGTTAACAAATTGTTTAGGGCTGAGGGGAGACCAGATCCCAAGTAACCAATTATGAAACGATGAAAGTAAGAGGTGACAAACTTAATAACCAGAAGCTCAGCTTCATGAGACTCTGGTTACTCCAAGACTATTTTAAGACATAACAGTATAACAAATTGTGTACCATCTTCTGCTACTTAGACCAGGGCTATTCAATAAAGCTTTCAACAATGATGAAAATATTCTAATCCTATATTAGCATATATCTATGCTAATACAATAGTCATCCACAACTGGAACTATCACTTCAAATGTAGCTAGTACAACTGAGGGGCTTAAGTATTAATCTTCTCTCATTGACTTCAATTTTATTTTTAAATAGAAACAGTGTAAAATATTTTTTCACTAAACACAACTTTATTGTTTCAGTAGTACTCCATTTTGTTTTAATGGTTTAAAATTTAGTGACTGAATTAAATGAAGATATATTATAAGCACAAAATATACACCAAATTTAAAACATTCAGTACCAAGAAAGTAAAAATACATTCTTGATAATTTTTCACTGATTATAGAGATAGATGATGATATTTTTCATATGTTGAGCAAAACAAAACATTAAAATTAATTTCCTATGGGCTGGGGATGTGGCTCAAGCTGTAGCGCGCTTGCCTGGCATGCGTGCGGCCCGGGTTCGATCCTCAGCACCGCATACTAACAAAGATGTTGTGTCCGCCGAGAACTAAAAAATAATAAATATTAAAAAATTCTCTCTCTCTCTCTCTCCTCTTTAAAAAAAATTAATTTCCTATATATTAATTCTTTTTAATATAGCGACCAGGAAACGTAAAAATTACAGTGCAGCTTACATTATTTATCTCCTGGACAATGCTGGGTTAGAACCTAGAGCACACTGAGGGGTGTGGTTCGGTGGTAGGCCTACCTGGCAAATGCAAGGCTCTGGGTTCAATCCCAAGCACTTCCAAAACAGGAAAGAAAAAAAAAATCTAAGAGCTTTTCCATCTGTGGAGGAAACCTCATGGCCGAAAGATTTGTTCTGTCTCCAAGACTGATGGTATTTCTGCTGCAGAGATGACAGGTCATAAATATTATCATAAAATTTTATCCAAAAGTGCTTAACAGGTCATTCAATCTTCCCAGGGTTTAAAGGAAGACTGTAGAGATTATGATTATCTACTAAAATTTTTCAAATAATAGGTGCCCATTCATTTCCTCTGAGAGCCGTTTTGCAGACCTCGATTTATGCTTTCCAGTTTTGTCTTTAATTCCAAGATTAATCTTATTTTATACTTGTAAAGTGCACAGTACCTAGGACAAGGATGCTGGGTCAATGCATGCGGTGGTGGGGAGGATCGGTGGTGTTTTAATTAACTGACATGGTCACTGCATACAGTGAGAAAGGAGGAAATGGGCTGGCATGGCCACAGGTCCTCCTCCAAAGGCTCAACAGCAGGAAAAGATTTTACCTAAATGGCTAAAACCAGCTCTCCTCAGAAGTAACCTATTTCCTTCATTTTCTACATCTAACAAAGAGGGCATTTAAATGGGGCATGATGGTGCACGCCTATAATCCCAGCAACTTGGGAGGCTGAGGCAGGAGAATCGCGAGTTCAAAGCCAGCCTCAGCAATGGTGAGGCACTAAGCAACTCAGTGAGACCCTGTCTCTAAATAAAATACAAAATAGAGCTGGGAACATGGCTCACTGGTTGAGTACCCCCTGAGTTCAATCCCTAGTATCTATATACTGTTTACTCGTTTTTCAAATAACTGTCAGATTTTTTACATCCTACTGATGTTTTACAACAACACTTTCTTTAAAATGCAAATAGAATTGGAAAATTTGAACACAGAGACCATTTTGTTCCTATGCTTGCTGAACTAAAAATCCAATTTTCAGGAATTAACTGAACTCAACTGGTTCACTGGAAATAAAGGATAATTACTACAGATGTAGCATCCCAAATCCAAAATGCTTTGAAATCTGAAACCTATTAAGTTTTCAAATTAGGGCTGCTCAATCAGAAAAGTCTGTGCAAATATTTCAAAAATTTTAAATTCCCAATCTGAAATATTTCTGGTTCCAAAAACTTTTGGATAAAGGATACTGAATGTGAACTGTAGTCCAGACTAGGAGCTAGATCTCCTGCCTCCTGAGCTGCTGATCTTCTTACTGATAATTACTATTCTAGACGTACAAGTCTAATCAAGAATAGTCAGTATGCATGGTGATGAGCTCTACTTCACAAAACAATGACTACATGAAACTATTTCCCAATATCAAGTTAACTGTATCTAACCTGCTCTATGGTTTGTTTGTTTGCAGTGGTAGGGATGGAATCCTGGGCCTCATTTATGCTCAACAAGTGCTCTACCACTGAGCTACATCCTAGTCCTAACTTGCTCTGTATTTTCATAAATCATCTCCCCAATGTGGGGACAATCTCCAACTTCCAGAATTTCTGTACAACCCAAAGTCAAACAACAATTGTTTGCCTCTTTCCTATAGCAGATTCTGTTGGTCAGATGTATTGTGAGAAAACACATTCCCCTGACAGTATCTCTTCATGTTATTTCCTCGTGGAATTATATGAAAACATAACATGAGTGTACCAACTTGAAATTCAGGCGACTTCAAAATAGTTGATCAGAATTTTTTCTCTAAAGCCACAGTGATTTCTGGGAATGTACATATAATATATAGTTGATTTACACTTAAAAGATTGATCTTTTTGTTTTATTTATAACAGTGAGTAAATGATTTAAGCAGCCCTACTGTTCAACCTGCTTTTGATTTTTTTTTTTAATTGGATAAAGCTTGGCAGGTTAGTTCTGTAATGAAAGCAATCCTTTTCCAAGTCTACTCTTTTCCACAGAGAATCCAATTTCACCCTATTTTCATGCTAATGTTGTGCTCCAGAAGTCTTCAGCCTCTTTGTTCTAATTGCTATAAATTATAAACCCAACCTGCACCGAGGTAGGGAGGTTGGAAGCCCGCTAGTGATGCCTGCCGCCTAGGATACTGCACATTTCTGTTGACGAATAGCATCAGTGAGACACCGTGCTGCGGTCTTGAGTGGTTCTTTAAATTCCCAAATGTGGTCACAGCAGTGAGGTTTTATTCTGAATCGCTGACTGATTCTCCTCATTTTCAGAAGTTGTTCTTCTCAGTTTCCCTTTCTTTATCAATACCAAGCCACAGAGGGGAAAGGGGTGGGGTGCTGTCTACCTTCATTTCCTTATTTATTGTGGACAGGGGCTCCAGGTCTACATTCCACCTACAAATCAGCAGGTTTCACAACTCATGAGGGCATATTCATTTCAGCTTCTCCCAGCAGGTTTCTCTTCACCATTGTCTGGCTCCACTCTTCCACTTTCAGCTGCTGGCTTAGGATGCTGAGCTATAAAGGGCTCTGCTGCCGTCTTTCTATTCCCCATTATCTTAGTTTCTAAAGTGATATTCAAATAATTATACTCTCATTCAACTGTCCATTTCAGGCTCCAGCTTAAAAGCCCCACATTGGCAGTGACTGGGTTTTAAAGAACAACGTGTGTGGGAGCAAAACGATGACAAGCACCTTCATAGTCCCCATCCTGTGCCAGACACCATGTACAAACCTCCTATGGATGACTCACGACACTCAAGATACTTGACAGAGGAAGAAACTGAAGGTCAGGGAGGTGAAGAGACTGGTGAAGAGACACAGAGCGGAGAAAGATGAAAACACAAATGAAACAGTGCTCCTTCAAACCCCAATTTCTATTTTTGCTACTCCTTAAGCATTTATAAGTGCCACCAGTTTCTTGGTAATTCCCGAATGAGGCCTTGCATTTTTCTTTTTTTCCTAAAATACAAGTATGTCTCCAGTGCTACTTCACATTTAATTCTCCTTTTTCTTGATGTGCTAATTACTTTCTGTTAAGAGTTACAAATACCCAAGTCAGGCATGGTGGTGCATTCCAACAGGTTGGGAGGCTGAAGTAGGAAGTGCGAAAGTTCGAAGCCAGCCTCAGCAATTTAGCAAGGCCCTAAGCAACCTAGTGAAACCCTGTGTCAAAATAAAAAATAAAAAAGGCTGAGGTGTGGCTCAATGGTTAAGCACCCCTGGGTTCAATCCCTGGTACAAAATTTAAAAAAAAAAAAAAAAAAGTTACAAATATATCAGGTTTTAGCTTAAGAAATATTCAGCATTAGCCCAGTATGGTGGCACACACCTGTAATCCCAGCAGTTTGGGAGGCTGGGACTGCCAAATATGGTTAGGTATCAGTCCTCTAGAATTGATTCCAAGATAAACTTGTGGTAAAAAAGTCCCCCAATGAGCAGCTCCGTGGTCTGAAAGGGCAGGGAAACAGCCCAATGAGCATCACCACAGAGGAGCCAATCAGTTGGCAGCTAGAAGTTGCTGGGGCCGCTGTGAGTCAATCATCAGCTGGCAGCTGGAAGTTTGCTGGGGCCCCTTCGGCTGTGGCTCTCAACATGGGACTGCAAGTTCAAAGCCAGTCTCAGCAATTTAGCAAGGCCCTGAGCAACTCAGCAAGACCCTGTCTTTAATTAAAAAATAAAAAGGGCTGGGGATGTGATTCAGTGGCTAAGCTGAATCACATCCCTGGGTTCAATCCCTGGTACCAAAAAAAAAAAAAAAAAGCTTTGTCAATTTTTCAGATGAGATTGAAAGACATATTTCTAAGATTTACTATTCCAACTCTTATTTTAAACAATAATTACAAAAATAAAGAACTACACTATTAATATAAAACTCTGAAATAGATGGTACAGAAATGAAGATCTAATAAAAACTGATTTTGAAGAAATCTATAATTCCTATAAGTATAAATTACTAAGGGGAAATATTTTATAAATTGCATATAGGGAACAAGGAGGGAGAAGGTAAAATAAAAGGGATATTACTGATTTTTTTTTTTAAAAAAGTCAGTGACGGAGAGCAAAGCATATTTTAAATCATATCCAATTCTCCAAGTTAACTGCTATTTCAGAAAATAACCTGGGCATACGCGGTCTTGAAAAGCCTATTAAAAGACAGTGCCTGCTTTAAATGAAGAAGAAAAAGATACACTGAAGCTCTGTAATGGTCCCTGAAACATGTTTGATGTGCCTCTAAAATATAAATATGGAAAAGATGCAAAAATAGAGAATAGAATGGAAAATCAAGGTTACTTTAACTTAAATGAAAATAAATGTAAGTTATTATTTTTGAATGGTCCATGTTTTAGACTTTGTAAAGCCAATCCCATCATCCAGCAGTTCATAAACAGTAAAATAAATTACCACTTTAGAAAAAAATGTGTAACCCAAGAATATTTGCAAAATTGGAATGCCCAGCAATAGAGAAACAGTTAGGTAAATTATGTTACATCAACTCAATGGGCTATAATGTAATTCATAAAAAACCTGATATGATGCAGGGGGCGGGGGAAATATAAAATTCTACATTTTCTTTCATTGAACTAACATAAAAAGTTTAAAGGAATAAATACTGGAGAATAATACCTTTAAGGATATTAGTTCTATCGTGGTGCTAGAATAATCTTTCCTTTAAAAAAAAATCCTTTAACTCCTTCATATTAATGATCATTGCATTTGGGTTTTGATGAGGGCTCCATAAAATTACAGAGTTAAGTGTAACTTAACGACAACTTACTGTTGTCTAATCAATGACGTTCAATAGAATTAAAATGCAAGCCATACATGTATTTTAAATTTGCTAGCAGTCATTTTGAAAAAGTCAAAATAAACAGGTGAAATTAACTTTAAGATTTTTATTTAATCCGATATATCCAAAATACTGTCGTTTCTGCATATTATCAATATTTTTAAAATGAAGCAAAAACAACTATTGGGATTGTGGGTATATCTCTGTGGTACAGTGATTGCCTAGCATGTGCAAGGCTCTGGTTTGATCCCCAGGACTACCAAACAACAGGAGAAGGAGAAGAAAGAAACCATTCGTGAGCTATTTGAAAATTATTTTTTTTGTACAATCTTAGAAATCTCAATTCAGACTAGCAACATTTCAAGTGCTCAATGGCCACGTTAGCTGGAGACTATCAAACTGGATAACACAGGTCTAGATTTTTGGATCTCTCATCCCCTAAAACACTGTGACGTTAAGGAAAAGTAGAAGTTTGCACAGGAAATTACATAGTCTTTCTCTGGGAATTGATGGAGTCATCATAATAACGGGGTAACTGTCTGCCTACAGAAACCAACAGTAATTTCATGTCTCTAACATGCTCCGTGGGGCCCAAAGAGAAGGATTTATCATCTTATTACCTTGTGTAGTTCTCTTTGTATCCAGAAATATCATCGTTGGGAGATCGCAGTCGACGTTGAGATGGAGCCTCCAGATGCCAATAGTTGATGCGGTTTAGGAACATTTTGGCCAACTCAACAATTGTTTGCCTTTCTTTTGATGGTAGGTGACTAAATTTGTACTGTACAAAGTTATTCACCCCCTTAAAAGAAGGGAAGAAAATTTATTCATGCAAATATGTGATCTTATTAATTCTTCACACCCACACAACCAGCACTATTGGTGATGAGCAAAAACAAACACACACTTCTCAATTCTCAAAAATCGTGTGTGTGTGTGTGTGTGTGTGTGTGTGTGGTGCTGGGGATTGAGCCCAGGGCCTTGTGCATGCAAGGCAAGCATTCTACCAACTGAGCTATATCCCCAGCCCATTTCTTCCTTTTCTTTAAAAGAAAACAACAGGGCCCACAGAGAAACCTGCCACAGGTCACAGTGGATGAAAAGTAACAAGATAGAAGGGCTGTGAGCTGTGGCTCTATGCCTGCTTCAATCCTGAAGCAGTTCAGAGAAAATCAAAACCATGGACCAAAGAGATCAAAACCCCTTAAACAGTAAAATATGACTGTTTTGCAAAATAATTCTGGCTTCACTATTAGCATATAAGCTCATATAAAATGTGGTTCTTAGATAAAAAAAAAATTCCAGAGAAAAACATTTTTTTTTTTTTTGTACTGGGGATTGAACCCAGAGGCACTCAAACACTGAGCCATAGCCCCAGCCCTTTTTGTATTTTATTTACAGACACGGTCTTGCTGAATTGCTTAGGGCCTCACTAAATTGCTGAGGCTGGCTTTGAACTTGTGATCATCCTGCCTCATCTTTCCAAACTACTGGGATTACAGGTGTGCGCCACAGCACCAGGCTCTGCAAAATTTTTAATCAAAACTATTGCTAAAAATAAAATACATAATTCGGTAGCAAAACAAAAAAAAACTATTGCCAGCATATCTTTCATATTACTAAACATTAGAATTTAAGTCTTGTCCACTGAACTAAACTAATAATCTTTAAGTCTTTACTGTCTCACTCTGTTTTTTTCCTGATAAACTTGCTAAAACCAAAAAAAACAGTCAAAATTATGTGCTTTTTCAAAAAGCTCTGGATTCCTTTAACCTTTGTGCAAAACACTCCCATCTCATCTAATTTCACATAAAAGAACAATAGATTCTTATTTAATAGTTTGAAATCAAAACCTAACTTGTTCTCCTGAAAACCCACTGATAAAAGTACATTTGTAAGGACTCTGGTATTCCATCTTCTCTAGTCAGATTTTCATCAAGAAATTCAGTCCAGAGAGCTTGACTTTGATATAGCCAAACAATGAAGGGCTAAAAATTGATGTCCGTGAAAAATAACCTTGCAGACAAAGTCTATACATTTTAACAGATTCTCTGAGTAAAACAGCTTCTTCCCAGGAATTGTACTGTAGCCAGAAGTCAATGTTTTTCACATTACAAGCGAATTCCCTCAGCTCAATAAATAGGCTTTTCCAAACAGTGCCAATCAAAAGGACAAAGACTTATGTTTACAACATCAACAACAGGGAAAAGCACCATTAGTGTGTCCATAGTCCCCTCAACCCCACAGCATTGGGGGTTAAGGGGGCTCAGGATTTAACCCAGGATGTTTTACCACTGAGCCACACCCCTAGCCCTTTTATTTTTATAATTTAAGACAGGGTCTCACTAAATTGCTGGGCCTGGCCTCAAACTTGTAATCCCGATAATTTTCACAGACCTTGGTGAATATTTCGGAGCCAGGGATGGAAGATGGAAGGAAGATGTGAATAGAGATGTAGAAGGAAAATTGAAAGGTGTCATCAGGCTAAGGATGAGACTCAGTGGTATATGCCTAGCATGTATGTTCAAGGTCCTGGGTTCTACCCCCCAGCACGGGGTGGGGGGGGGGCATTTTTTCAACTTAAAACCAATAAAGAACGAGCTTGTTTTTATTTTTTTTACCTGCTCAATACTAGGTTTTTCAAATGGAGGCTTCTTCTCCAAAGAGCCTTCAACCACAGGTTTTCCTCTTTGTAAAATAGATTTTCTCAAGAGCTGCAAAGAAATAATTTTTTTTTTAATTTTTCTATCTTACAGACAGCCTTTAAGAGAAGTTACTGTATTCTATTTCTCTTAACTATATGTAAACAAATTCTTAAATCAAACAGGTAAACTATATCAGGTAACAAAAATTTGCCTTCATATCCATAACCAGGACTATGAGAAACTACACACCTTTCATGTCTGAGCAGCCTAAACTACCTAGGACCACCAGACACCACTATCCCTCCCACCTTCTCCCTCTCTCTGGTTCTGGCTTCCTACACACCAAGAAGACTTTGCACATTCCAGTTCAGGCCACTGGATGTGTCCTGAAGCTCGGGAGCATCTTACTTAAATGCATGAAAGGCTAGGACCTATTCTGCACAAATGAGGCCAGGAAGAGGAGCTGTCTAAGAGGAGCCAGCTGGATGGAGGTCCTATGCACAGTCTAGGGTAAATTTTTCGGGGAAAAAATTCTGCAAGGCTCTCAACTGGCAACTTTCACTGTTGCGGTCTCCTTTCACTTCCCTTCCATCTGCAGCATGTAGGCCAATGGTTCTGGCATCTGAATGCCCACAGAACAAAAATACTGCCCGTAATTCCTGCCTCTGGAATCGAAAACCCTCAAAGAGCAAATAGAAAAAAAAAACAAAGGCATTTACCAAGAAGAAAGTTGAATTGAAATTGAAATCTTTTTTTTTTTTTAATTTAAATTCTTTACCTTCAACCTTTAATTTTCTGTAAACTTTACATGTGAGCTGGGTATGCTATGGTCCTGCATTGATTTAAGTTACATTTTTACTTCTTTTCTCCATTTATTGCCTTTTCTATAGAAATAAAACATGGCAACCATTCTCCCAGTGGTTACTGGAAATTGACAAACTCCTAAAGTTAAAGATGGCCATGTGTCACCACGGAGCTATATCTTACAAAGACCTCATATATGTTGAGTATGGAGTATTTGTTGGTCCTCTGAATGCACTATGCCCATCTTTACAAAAATAAATTTCCAATACAGGTAAGTATTATCTGTGCTTCTAAGGATACATAAAGATTAATAATAAAATTTAAGTACAAAGAATTCTAGTTTCCTACCTTTTTTTCTCCTAAGAAATCTTGGCCCACTGGGGTTTTCCATTTAGAGGTAAACTGGTGTTGAGCCTCAGTTTTGTCATTTACAAAGTGATGGGGCTGAGACACAAGCATATAAAAGTTTCTATTGGTGCCAAGTTCAGTGGCACAGTGTTCCTCTAGCTAATACAAGTTCCTGGGTTTGATCCCCAGCACTAACTAAATCAATATTATTAATGCAGCAAGCATTTGCATTCTGTCTTTTGCCAGAAACTCCAGAGGTGGTTTTGGTTTTGGTTTTGTTTGTGAGATTCTCTATCACCCGGACTGGCTGGCCTTGAACCTCCTGGAATAAAGCAATCCTCCTGCTTCAACCTCCAGAGTAACTGACATTACAGGCACATGCCACCGCCCATGATTTCATAATACCTTTTGAGGTAGGTGATCCTGTTATCTGTATTTACAGATGAGGAAACCAAAGCAGAATAACATCAAGGTTATTCTGTCATTACACTGAAGGAGCAAGGGTTTTTTTTTAATACCCAGGTCCCCAGAACAACATCTACAGGCATGGAGGCATGCTTCAGTTGTAGGACACAGCTATCCATTGAGTTTATTTTCAGCATCTAAAATTGAAGTTTTTAAATGCTGCTAAAACATACAAGACATTTTAACTGAATTATTGACACATGAGACACAGAAACTGCCTTTCAAAAGTTAAGGAATGGATCATTTCTAACTCCTCTGTCCAAACAATGACTGCATTAGAGTGGGTGCTGATTTTTGGGGGGAGGGGGTGTAGGGTACCAGGGATTGAACTCGGGGACACTGGGGCACTGAGTCATATCCCCCTGTAAATAGAGACGGAGGGGGTGGGTTATGGCTCAGCAGTAGAGCGCACGCCTCGCACATGCAAGGCCCTGGGTTCAATCCTCAGCACCACATAAAAATAAATAAATAAATAAAGTTATTAAAAACCATAGAGATGGGGATTATTTTGGATTGAATTTCTACAGGCAATTATATGTGCACTATTATTGAAAGACGGAAGGGGAAAAAAATAACTTCAAAGCCGAACAATGTTTCTGGCTCGTTGTGTTGGTTATAAACCCAGGAGGCTGACAGAATGGAACCCTGACACCACCTTCTCTTCCAGCAGGGCAGCGGGGAGCTGCCAGGGAGCTGAGTTCCAAGACAAATCATAGCTGCCGTCATGCAGACCTTGCTTTCCTTCCACTAAGATCTTTTTCCAAAGAAGCTCTAAATAGTAAGAAGCTGCCAAGGTTCAATCTAGATGACTCAGGCCTCATGACCATGTCAACAAACTGTCACCTGGAGTGGCCTAGTGCCTGCTAAAGCTGTGGGAATTCAGTTCATTCTCTCAACTCTCGAGTTAAATCCCAACTCGCAATATAGCTTTCCCTTTAACACCTTCTGCTGTCTTACCACCCGCCCCCCCCAAAAAATTCCATTAGTACAATAAAAAATAAAAGTTAACAAGAGACAGGAAAATTATGAGTAAATAAGTTCAAAGAAAAAAAAGCTGTAAGAATTGGGTAAAGAAATTGTACTGGGATTCCTAGCAGCCAAGGCAAAAGAAGAAACTTATTAGAAAATTTAATTATCCTTATATAAATATAGAGTGCTGCCAATGCAGCTCAGAGAGCTTGCCTGACAAATGAGAGGTGCTGGGTTGGAGCCCCAGCACCATAGATAGATAGATAGATAGATAGATAGATAGATAGATAGATAGATAGATAGATAGATAGATAGATAGATCGAAAAGAGAGGCAAACTTTTCCAGACGGTAAATTCTGGATGCTATTTTTTTAACATTCTCCTAAGGGTTACATAAGATAATCTAGACTACAATACCCTCTACAGCAGGTGTGTTGTTTTAATTATCCTTCTGGCGACCTCCTTTATAAATCTATTTTCAGCACCCTGAAGTCTTTCTACCCATCTTGCCACCAGTTTCCCTCCCACACCTGTAAGTCCTGACTCCGAGAAGCAGCCTGAGGAGACCTCCATCTGTGGGATGGGAATGGCTGTAACCAAGTGGAGCTGAGGAAGGACCAGGGAGAGGCAACTATGGGGAGCGGCGGCTGTGATGGGTGACTAGCGTCATCAAGACACATGTCACAGTGGGAAGGTGCCAAGGCCCATTTGGAAAGTCTTGATTCCTTCCCTTGAAGCCTAAGAAACAGACTTGGGGCCCCTCCCATTTCCTTCTCTCCCCAAGTGGCCTCCGTGCTGTTCCTACACCACAACACTCTCACCCAGTGGGCAGATGTCTACTCTCCTTTCTGCCCGGGGAGCTCTCGCCCTGGCACCAGTGGCTCCTCACTCCTGCTCCATTTCTACTCAGATGCCATCTCCTCAGAGAGGATTTCCTAACTGCCTTCCTCGCTGGCAGGCCCCCTGCCCACCACCGTTCTTTCCATTCTGATTTCACTTACCCTATACTTTGTTTCTCTTCGCAGCACTTAGCACCACCGGAAAATACATTATTGACTCCTCAACAGTCTGCCTCCCCTGCTGAATAACCTCCATAAGGACACAGTCTCGACCACGGATCTATCCCTCATGCTACACTGGTGCCAGGCACAGAGCAGGTGTGCAATAAATATGTGTTGGGTGGACGGAAAGAAATCTATAAGCCTATGCAAATCAAGATGCGTAATTTTGCCTAGAAGCATGAAGAAGCTCAAGGAGAGTGATGCATCCAAGGCATGGCAGGTCATTTGAGAGAATCCACGGCATGCTGCGCAAGCCCTGAGGGAAAAATATACCATAAGCTGAGAGTCTCCACACCCACAGCCTGGCATGTGGAGACTGAGCATGTGTGGAAAAGAAGGGAGAAGAAAAGCCATTTAAAATGTTGAGATCTCACCTTGAATAGATAGAAATAAACTTGTTTGGTATCTGCATCTTCCTCCTTGTGGACGCAGGTAAAGAGATATTCCACATCCAACACTATTCCCAGGAGTCTGTTCATTTCTTCCTCTGACACATTCTCCAGGTGGGAAACATGAGCAGCTTAAGACGAGACCAAAGGAACAACACGTATGTGTAAGAATTCAGTTGGAAAACCACAAGCACTCCCCACTAGAAAACAGAAGGTTCTCTCTCACAAAACCTCCCTTCAATCCCTTAGGTTGCCTAATGAATCCTCAAAAGGGAATTTCTGAACCCTTTAGGATGGATGTTTTCTCATACTTGTAATTAGCCTTCCTATCCAACACTAAAAGTGGGCAAGGAGCTAATGTATTCAAATAATGTGTATTTGAAGAACTGAAACTTTAAAAAAAACAAAAAACAGAAATTTGTAGCAACAAGTCTGCTAATGAGAGGGTCAAGTTCTTATGTTTCCACATTAACAAATTCTCCATCATGGGCTTGGGATGTGGCTCAAGCCGTAGCGCGCTCGCCTGGCATGCGTGCGGCCCAGGTTCGATCCTGGGCCGCAGACACACAAAGTTGTTGTGTCTGCCGAAAGTTAAAAAATAAATATTAAAATGCATTCTTTCTCTCTCTCTCTCTCTTTAAAAAAAAAAAAAAATTCTCCACCATACCAAGAGAGTTCTCTATTCTCTACAGTCCTAGACATTGATCTAGGATTTGTAGATCTGTGGTTCAGAGGTATGGAAAACCACATTCCCTCAAGATTTAGTTCTAAGTCCTATGGAATGCTCAGTTGGCCACAAATATCATTACAGTGTAAAGACTGAGGTCCATTCCCTCAGCCTGAGACACACCAAAATCTCATTGTTTCTGCAGCAGTCCCAAGACTGTTTTTAGCTCGGGATTCAGTTAATGTCCTCCACGATTTAGCCCCCAAACATACTTTCCTACCTTTGTTCTGTTGTCTTACTTCAATTTTAGTGAACTACCATTGACCTTACCCTCTCCCACCATCTTGTTATCTTCTCTACCCAAATTTTGTCCATCTCTCAAAATTATCTCATTTAATCCTCAAACAATCCCATAAAAGTATTAATTTGTAATCCCATTTTACAGATAAGGAAACCAAGACTTAGAGAGATTAAATACTGTTTCATTAAACTTCACTCATCCAACAAGGCAGAGCCAAGGGTTCAAAAGTCAAGAATGATTGACTCAAATTCTAAAGCACCTACAAGTATATATTTCATATTTCTTTTTTTTTCTTTTTCTTGATACTGGGGATTGAACCCAGAGGTACTTGGCGACTGAGCCACATCCCCAGCCCTTTTTATTTTTAATTTTGAGATAGGGTCTCACTAATTTGCTTAGGGCCTCTCTAAATTACTGATAGGCTGGCCTGGAATTTGTGATCCCCTGTCTTAGCCTCCCAAGTCACTGGGATTACAGGTGTGTGCCACCATGCCAGCTCCTCACCTGTTTTAAAGGGAGATGGAACAAAAGATTATTTGTGTTTTTGTGATTGGGGGGATGGGGCGGGGGAAATCAAACCTAGGGCCTTTGCATGCAAGGTAAGCACTCTACCAACTGAGCTATATCCCCAGCCCAGATTATTTGTTTTGTCTTGGTTGGGTTTGGTTTGCTTTGGTTTCAGTACCAGGAATTAAACCTGGGGGGTTTAAGTACTGAGTCACATCCCCAGCCCGTTTTATTTTGAGACAGGGTCTCCTCAGCCTGCCGAGTCACTGGGATTACAGGCATATACCACGATGCCTGGCTAGAACTAAAGATTATTAAGGAATCTCTTCTAGGTGGTGGGCACAGGTCAATCTACCCTGAAGAACACAGTGCTCCTGTCATCAAACCATGCTCAATTGGAATCCTGGGGTTCAGGATACTGGTAGTACCACCTGCATTCTGTGTGTACCACAGCTCCTGGCCAGTGGCTCCATTTCTCTACCTAAAGGCTTTTCCTCTCACTGTAACTTACTCTGCCACCTATGTACCCCTCACAAGTGATCCTCCCGTCTTAGCCTCCCAAGTTACTGGGATTTCAGGTGTGCGCCATCATGCCAGATCCTTACCTGTTTTAAAGGGAGATGAAACAAAAGAATATTTGTTTTGTTGTGATTTGGGGGGCAGCGGTGGGGGCGCGGTGGTGCTGGGGAATCAAACCAAGGGCCTTTGCCTGCAAGGTAAGCACTCTACCAAACCTGAAGAAGTTAGTATATCCCCCTCATATAACTAATTGTCATTGCCCACAGTGAAATCTGGCTTAGTAATTAACCACGTTTATTGTACAGGTTTCCTCTGTCTTACTTTCCAACTCCTCTACTTTCAGCTCAAATAAACTACCTATACTAAATCTTTGTCTCAGAGTTGGCTTCTGGGGAGCTTAACCTCAGATACCTAAACAAAAGCATTTTCAGAACTGGGTGCAGTGAAATCCACCTAAATCCCAGCTCCTTGGGCTGCTGGGGCAGGAGGATCATATCTAAGTCCAGCCTGGACAACTTAATGAGAAATCCAGTCTCCAAATTTTTTGAACAGGGGTAACAGAGACCTCAGCTATAGCTCAGTGATGGAATACTTGGCTGGCATGCCCAACGACCCAATGCCCCAGCACTACATAAAAAGAATAATTCTCAAGGAAGTAAGAGGGTTAAATGCCAAAGAATGGGGAGCTTCCAAATGTGCTTAAAAAGCAGGCGTAGCTGTACCCCATTCCAGACAAAGTAGACTTTATGACAAAAACTATAAAGAGAACAAAAAGGCATTAATATAATGATAAGGGTCAATTTATCAGGATATAACAATTATAAATATATGTGCTCAACATTGAAGCACATAGATACATAAAACAAGCAACAGATCTGAAAGGGTAGAAAGATTGCAGATCACAGCACAACAATAAGAGTTTCAATACTACACTTTCAATGATGGATAGATCATCTAGACAGAAAAATCAATGAGAAAACACTGGACTTGAACTACATTTTCGACCAAATGGAACCAACACACATAGACACAGTATCACATCAAACAGCAACAGAATACAGATTCTTCTCAAGCACAGGTGGAATTTTCTCCGGGAGAGATCACATATTAGGATACAAAGCAAACCTTAACAAATTCAGAAAGGATGAAATCATTCCAAGGGTCTTTTCCCACCACAATGATATAAAACTAGAAACCAATAACAGGAGAAAGTTTGGATATGTAAAAATTAAACAACATGTCCTTCAACAACCAATGGATAAAAAGAAATAACAAGGGAAAACTTAACTGAGGAGATAAAAGATATGTATATGGAAAACTATAAAACATTTATGAAAGTGAAGAAGAAATCAATCAATAAAAGAATATCTTGTGGGCTGGAGGTGTGGCTCAGCGGTAGAGCCCTAGAGCATGCGAGGCCCTGGGTTCGATCCTCAGCACCACATAAAATAAATAAATAAAACAAAGGTATTGTGTACAACTAAAAGAAATAAAATTTTAAAAAAGGATAGCTTGTGTTCAAATATTGGAAGAATTGATATCATTAAAATGGGGGCTGGGGACATAGCTCAGTTGGTAGAGTGCTTGCCTTGCATGCACAAGGCTCTGGGTTCAATCTCTGATATCACCAAAAAAAAAAATAAGTGAATTACAGATTCAAGGTAATCATTACCAAAATTTCAAAGACATTCTTCACACAAATAGAAAGAGCAATTCTAAAATTGATACAGAAATAAAAGATGTAAATAGTAATAACAACCTTGAGCAAAAAAAAAAAGAGAGAAAAAATTGAAGGCATCACATACTTCCCGATTTAAAAATCTACATCAGGGGCTGAACTTTAGCTCAGTGGCACAGAGTTTGTCTACCATACCCAAGTCCCTGAGGTTTCATCTCCAGCACCCTAAAAAAAGAAACCACAAAGCAATCCACTTCCAAGTTAATCAAAATGACTTGATACAAACACACAGACCAATAGGGAACCTAGAAATGGGGACTGGGACTGGAGTTCAGTGGTAAAAGCATTAGCTTAGAGTATGTGAGATCCCTACCACCACAAAAGAAAAAGGGGGGTGGGGTGAGGTGGGGTGGGGAAGGAAATAAAAAGAAGGAAAGTGAGAACCTGGAAATAAATCCATGCATTTACACTTGACTGATTTTCAACAAAGATGCCAAGAACACACAATGGGGAAAAGACAGTTTCTTCAATAAATGGTGTTGGAACAACTAAATTTCCAAATGCAGAAGAATGAAATTAGACATTTATCTCACAGTATGTACAAAAAAAAAATCAGCTCAAATAAATTAAAACAAATGACCCGAGATTGTAAAAATATTACTAGAAGGAAACATAAGGGAAAGCTTCCTTTTGTTGTTGTTGTTGTTTTGGTTTGGTTTGGTTTTCTACTGGGGATTAAACTCAGGAGTGCTTTAACACTGAACCAAATTCCCATTCCTTTTTATTTTTATTTTGAAACAGGGTCTCACTAAGTTGCTGAGGCTGGCCTTGAACTTGCAATCTTCCTGCCTCAGCCTCCCCAGTCACTGTGATTACTGGCGTATGCCACCACACCCAGCAAGGGGAAAGCTTCTCAACATTGGTCTTGGCAAAGTTTTTTTGGATTGAACCCAAAAGCACAAGCAACACAACAGAGACAAACGGGATTGCACCAACCTGAGAAGCTCTGGGCACAGAAAGGGGAAAAATCAACACAATGAAGAAACAATCTACAGAATAGGAGAAAACATTTGCAAACTATAAATGTGACAAAGAATTTAAGGAATATAGAAGGAAATCAATAAATAATAATCCAATTAAAAATGGGTAATCAACCTGAATAAACATTTTTCAAAAGGCATGAAAAAAGCAAACAGATACATAAATTTTAAAAAAGTTCAACATCACCAATCATCAAAACTAAAATTAGACATCACCTCACAGCTGTTTGGGTGGCCTATTATAAATAAAAGGAAAGATTAAGTGGTGTCCAGGACTTGGAGAAAAGGGAAACCTTGTCCACTGTTGGCGGGAATATAAATTAGCGCAGCCATTATGGTAACCATCATAAAGATTTCTCAAAAGTGAGAAATGGAATGGACAAAGCTTGCACAGGCCTGGAATTCTAGCTACTCATGAG